CTTCTTCTTCTTCTTCTTCTTCTTCTTCTTCTTCTTCTTCTTCTTCTTCTGCTTCTGCTTCTGCTTCTGCTTCTGCTTCTGCTTCTGCTTCTGCTTCTGCTTCTTCTGCTTCCTCCATCTGTTGTTGAGTTTGCTGGTAAATAGCAAGCGCCATTTCTAAAAAGCGAAAGGCTTCTCCCACCATGTCCTTGCCTTCTTTCCTTGTTTTTCCATATTTTTTTCTTAGTTCATCAAGAGGTAAAGCCATTATAAACCCTTTCTTCTTCTTTTTCTTTTTCCTCTTCTTCTTGTTAAACCAACCAAGATATTTCAAAACTTAAAACAGTTCCCCAAAGTCCCAGAGTCATCAAGCAGTCCAAACAGAGCACAGTTCTTCCCTTTGCAATTTCTCTTCCTGGGGTAATATCAATTAGAAAAAAAACCCAATTGCAGTTAACAGTCTCTAAATCTCTAAGGCATCTCCTCCAACAAAATCTTAATATAAGCTTTTTTTCCAGTCCTCTCCCTTTCCACTTGTAACAAAGAGCTTTAAATTTTTACCTTCTATAAAAAAGCAGGTTTTTCAGTGTCCATTTGTTAACTCCATAAGGGAGGGAGAGTAAACTTTCCCTTTCAGCACTTCCATTTGCCGCTTTAGAAACCTCCACTGGAAACAATGTATCACCCAAAAGATCATGGTTTTCAGGATATTAAATGTATCTTAAAAGTCCCGGTTCAGCCAAAAAACTTTCACTTTACAACTTTCTCCTTCTTGTCCAGCTGCCAGCTTCATTGTGGTGGCCATTACAGACCGCCGCTCCACTGCCTTGAGGAAAGGGGGTTTTGCCAGCTGGGGAGGGGGTCTGCGATTCCCCCCAAACCCCTATCCAGATCCCCCCTGTCTTCGCTGCCTCTATGGGCAGCCTTATCCTCCAGACCCATCAGGATTGGAGGCACCAAGATGGCTAGCACGGCAGGGATCATGCAGGATCGTGAATCCCTGCTGTCGCCGAAGCCTGGCAAACCAGAAGTCCCCTCCTCTACGGATTTCATGATCTAATCGGTAAACAGGTGGTGAAGCACCCCTTCACTTTCTCTGAGTATCTAATAGTACCAGAATTGTAGCTTATGAATGACACCCATTCCAATCCTTTCCCAGGAGCCTGCCTCACCCAGTACATTCTGTAGTCACTAAAGGTGAATCCAGAGGATTGGCAGGAGAGACGGAGGGACTCTCCCGGTCTTCTTATATCTCCTCCAGACTCCACCAACTGTACTTGAGACTGGATTCCTAAAAAGAAAGTTTTTTTAAAAAAAAGTGAGATCTCATGCATAGAGGAACAGAACATGGAAATAAAATCTATACAGGGGAAATAATTACCTTTGAGTAATAATAGTAAGGACAAAAGGTTTAGCCACATTTTTGATCACTCTAATGAGTGGAGGGAATTGAGGAGCCAGGACTCAGGAAATAGCACAAGGTTTAGGTTGGTGGGTGTTGTCTGAAAAGGGAAACCATGGGGCTCCTTTAAAGGGGAAATTGTGCCTCGATTTACATATCTGTTGGGATAATAGAGCCCTTGACCAACACACTTCTGTCAATATCACTCCTCTGTGTGTTTTGTAAATAACATTGCACTCCTAATAAAAGGAAGATGACCCATTTATATTTCTGTGAATTGATGGGCAAAAGGGAAATTTAACTGTTCATTAACTGAAAGAAAAGCTTGAAAAATACACTATATGTACTGTTTTATTTCCTTATTTTATGGAAAAGCCCAAATACATTAAATAGTAATTGAACTGCAAGGAACACAGTTTCACCAAGACTAGTTGTCCACTCAATTCACAAAATCAAACTTAAATCATATTGGGACCAAATAAACTCCCTTATTCCAAAGAGAATAATAAATAATAATAATTCTCTTTGTATTTTCCAACATATTTTGTTTACTGTAGGTCATCTTTTGTAAAGCCAGATAGGGCTTCCCAATACGGATGTCAGTGTCTTGACAAGTTACATTATTTTGAGATTGCTTGAGAGACACTCCAATATTTTCTGGATTCTTATACAGATTTGTTTCCATAATGTTTTATAGGTTCACTGAATATGATAATACAATCCCTTCATGTATTTTCCAGTTTCCAGCAAAGGTTTGAAATGCCTAGAAAGTTTCTCTGGTGACAAACAAAAATTATACATTATATTTTTTTAAAAAAAATGAGCTTTCAGGTCAACTCTGTATCCTCCTGATATGGGAAATTTTCTCCACATATTTCCTGTGATTATTATGGAAATAATAATAATAAAAAATTATCACACTACCAAAAGACAATTCGTACTTAATTTTATTTTATTTCCTAACCCAGAGGTATCAAGCTCAAGGCCCATGGGCAGAAATATTTAAATATGTTGATTAAATCCAACCCACAGGACTGGCTTGAACTATCAAAGGTGAATCTGGTGTCCAAAATGGGCCATCTTGCCCCTCCGCCTCATTATCACCCTCAATGGCCTCCTTGCAGCACTCTGCCGGCTGAAACATGGCCAAAAATGGGGATAAAAATGGGCCAAAAAAATGGGCCATAGTGGGCCAAAATATGAGCCAAAAATGGGCCAAAACATGCTGAAGAATCTAAGCTCTTGGGTTCAGTCAAGATGAAGGGGTGCTATGAAAAAAGAAAGGCTTTTGCTTGGTTTCAGATTCACTTCTTCTCACTGTGTCTCCAGCACAGTAATAGATTGCTGTGTCCTCTGGTTTGAGGCTGTTCATTTGCAGATACAGCTGGCTTTTGGCATTGTCCCTGGAGGAGGTGAAGCGACCGTTGACTTTGACTGAGTAGTAAGTACATGAATCACCAGTTGTCCAGGCCACACATTCCAGTCCTTTCCCAGGGGCCTGTCTCACTCAGGCCATGTGATAGCTGATGAAGGTGAATCCAGAGGCTTGGCAGGAGAGACAGAGGGATTCCTCAGGTCTTCTCACATCCCCTCCAGACTCCACCAACTGGACCTCAGATTGGACACCTAAAAAGAAAAAAAAATTTTTAAATGTGATCTGCACAGAGGAGCAAAACGTGGACATACACTTTATATGGGGGGAAATAATTACCTTTGAGGAGTGCTAGCAAGGACGCAAGTTTTAGCCACATTTTTGTTCCCTCTAATGAGTGGAAGGAATTGATGAGAGAGGATTCAGGAAACAGCACAAGGTTTAGGTTGGTGGGAGTTCTCTGAAAAGGGAAACTATGGGGATTCTTTAAAGGGGAAATTGTGCCTCGATTTACATATCTATTGAGATAAAAGAGCCCATGACCAACACAGTCCTGTGAACAGTGCAGTCCCAAGAAAAGGATTGTTTGCGATTTATTTTTCTGTGAATTGATAGGAGAAAGAGCAAGTTTACTATACAGTAACTAAAAGGAAATCCCAAATAGATTAAATGGTGGTTGAACCACAAAGAACCTATTTTCAGATAGACTAGTTAGGTCCACTCAATTCACAAATTTGAACGCAGCTCATATTGTGGCCAAATACACTCTCTTATTCAAAAGAACATGATAAATAATTCTCTTTGTATTATCCAAAATATTTCATTTACTGTAGGCTATCAGTTGTAAAGCCAGATAGGGCTTCCCAGTAAGGATTTTGGTCTTTTGAAAAATTAAACTCTTTTAAGATCCCTTGAGAGGAACTCTAATATTTTCTGGATTAGTGTACATATTTGCATCCATAATGCTTTGACTGTTTTATATGTTCACTGAATATGATAATATAATCCCTTCATATCCTTTTTTTTTTTTTCATTTCCAGCAAAGGTTTGAAATGACTAGAAAGTTTATCTGGTGACAAACAAAAACTATTCATTATTTTATTAAACAAATACAGCTTCCCGGTCAGCTCTGTACCCTCTTGAGATGAGAAATTTTCCTCATATATCTTTTGTGAATTTTTATGGAAAAAAAATCACACTCCCCCAAAAGACAATTTTTACTTAAACCTATTTTATTCCCTAGCCTATCCCTTCCAACTGAATGGGCCATAGGGTTTTCTATGACAACATGGCTTCCAGAGTTAAAAGTGAAGCAAGGACTCATTATCTTAATTCTCCAGATCAAGTGGTAGACTTGTGTTTTTTTATTTTCTTACAGAAAACTTTTTTAATACCTACACTCAAGTTTTTGAAGTTCTCACTAGACAATGATCATTGATAACCCAGGATTTGTGGCTTAGAGAAGTTGAAGAGCGCCTCTAAAGAAAGGAAGTTTTTTGTCTGGCATCAGATTCACTTCCTCTCACTGTGTCTCTAGCACAGTAATAGACTGCTGTGTCCTCTGGCTTGAGGCTGTTCATTTGCAGATACAGCTGGCTTTTGGCATTGTCCCTGGAGATGGTGAAGCGCCCCTTCACTTTGTCTGAGTAGAACTTTCCACTGGAATCAGTATAGATGTGTGCAACCCATTCCAGTCCTTTCCCTGGAGCCTGTCTCACCCAGCTCATGCCATAGCTTCTGAAAGTGAACCCAGATCCTTGGCAAGAGAGATGGAGGGACTCTCCAGGCCTTCTCGCATCCCCTCCAGACTCCACCAACTGGACTTGAGATTGGACTCCTAAAAAGAAAAAGATTGGTGTTTTTTTTTAAAGAGATCTTGTTGTAGTTGAGCAATGAGAGGCTTAACCAGGGCATGGGTGCAACAAATACTTTATTAGAGTAATAAAGGACTGAACGTGCTTGCCAAGCCTGGAACTGGCTCGCAGCGATCAGCAACTGGTTGAACCCCGCAGCCTGCTTATATAGCCGGCTGCTGGGGGAAACCAGCCAATGAGGGACAGCAAACGCCCCCGCAGCGTGAGCGGACCTGGGTGGGAACTCTTGCAAGTTCCAGGGACATAACACCCCTTCCCCCCAGATGCGAACACGCGTAGTCATTTAAATAAGCGGGTGGTCTGTGCTGGCGCTCTGAACGGCGCAATTCAGGTGAGTTGTCAGGTAACTCAGAGTCTGTAGTGGCAGGTTGGACCTGTGGGGAATCACGAACTTGCTCATCGGTCTGCGCTGGTTCGGGAGTCGTAGCGCTGGTCGATGGAGATGCGTCCTCGTCTGTTGATTCGGGTAGGTCAGTCATCAGACGGTCATGGTCCGCGTCCAGACTCTCCGGCTCAACTGGAGGAGGTGACGGGTCATCGGTGCTGGTGTTGATGTGTGGTTGATGTAGCGGTCTTGGACTGGTCTGTGCCCAGGCATCAACATTGGCGTAGGTACCATGGCGCCTCCGCAGCTGGTCCAGGTGCCTTTTCCAGATGCGACCATCCTCCAGCCTGACTCTGTACGACCTGGGACCAGTGATGGCCACGATCTCACCTGGAATCCACAAGGGGTCCCCAGCGTAGTTCCTTGCGAACACCGGTTCCTGTAAGACAAAATGTCTAACCCCCGACGTTGAAGCGAGGGGAGAGTCAGGGCAGTAATTAGGGTGAAGCCTGTCCAGCACTGTTCGCAGGCGTCTACCCATCAGGAGTTCAGCCGGTGATTTATTGGTGACTGTGCACGGGGTTGAGTGCTGGCTCAGCAAGAAGCGTGAGAGTCTGTGGTGCCAGTCTTCCTTGCTGAACCGGGCTAATGCTTCTTTAGTGGTCCTAACGGCTCTCTCTGCCAACCCGTTGCTGGCAGGATGAAAGGGAGCCTTGAAGATGTGGCGAATGCCCAGGTTAGCGGCGAAACGACTGAACTCGGCTGAGGCAAACTGGGGGCCATTGTCGGAAACAATCGAGTCTGGTAACCCGTGTGTTATGAACAGGCGGGTCAACACCTTAGTAACTGCTTGTGTGGTGGTCGTGGATAGTTGGGCCACATCAATCCACTTCGAGTAAGAATCCACGACCACCAGGAACATTTTGCCGTGAATCGGGCCCGCCAAGTCAATGTGAATCCTGGACCAAGGTGCACTGGCACTTTCCCACTTAGTGGGGGAGGCGATTGGAGGGGATGGTCGGGATTCTTGGCAGGGATGGCAAGAGCTTACCCATCTGATGATGTCATCGTCGAGGCCTGGCCACCATACGTAGCTGCGTGCCAACGCCTTCATCCTGACGATGCCAGGGTGGCCCTCGTGTAGTGCCTCCAAGACTCGGGTGCGCAGTGAGGTCGGGATGACCACTCGGGTGCCCCATAGTAAACAGCCCTGCAAGCTCGATAACTCCTGTTGACGGGTCTTAAAAGGCGTGAATTTGGTTTCAATGTTATTTCCAGGCCACCCCCTCCCCACCCAGTCCAGTACCTGGGCGATCGTTTTGTCTGCCTTGGATTTGGAGGCAATGTCAAGGGCAGTGATGGGAAGGTCAAGCTGGGTGACCTCGAAGATAGCGTGGACCGGGGCAGGGTCTTCAGCTGGAGCAGGCAGGGGGCAGCGGCTGAGGGCATCTGCGTGGGTTAATGTTTTTCCCGGATGGTGAATGAGTTTATACGAGTACGCTGCTAGGAAAAGGGTCCACCTCGTCATCCTGGGAGACAGCACTTGGGGAGTCTGTTTGTCTCCTGCTAGGAGACCCAGGAGAGGCTTATGATCCGTGACCAGCTCGAAAAAGTGGCCAAAAAGAAATTCATGAAATTTCTTCACTGCTGCGACAGCTGCTAAAGCTTCCTTATCGATTTGACTGTAATTGCGCTCTGTTGCAGAGAGTGTCCTGGAAAAGAAGGCGATGGGGGCCTCGGAGCCATTGGGGAGCCTGTGGCTTAACACTGCCCCAATTCCAAAAGGGGATGCGTCAGCTGCCAGCACTAATGGAAGGTTAGGGTCAAATTGAATAAGGACTGCATCTGAAGTGAGTAGTGACTTGACTGCGCGAAAAGCGGTGTCTTCCTTGTGCCCCCAGTGCCAAGATGATTTTTTATCCAAAAGTCTGTGCAGGGGTTCTGCCACTGATGCTTTGTGGGGTAGGAATGATGCGTAAAAATTCAATAATCCTAAAAAGGCCTGCAGTTCTGCTTTGGAGGTTGGTGTGGGTGCCTCGTGAATTGCCTTAACCTTGGACTCCAGGGGGTGAATGCCCGAGGCGTCAATTTTATAACCCAGAAAGTCCACCTGTCTAGTGGCAATGGCACATTTTTCTTTTTTTAACTTGAGGCCATGCTGTCTGAACCTCTCTAGCACTGCTCGAACTCTCTGGAAGAGTTGGGGTCTGTCCCTGGCCGAGACCAAAATGTCGTCGAAGTAGGGTACTACACCAGGGAGGCCCTGCAATATCCGCTTCATGAGGGATTGGAAAATGCCTGGAGCAACACTTACGCCAAATTGGAGACGCTTGCACCGGAAAGCACCCCTGTGGGTGACAATGGTTTGAAGTTCGGCTGTTTGATTGTCAACAGGGAACTGTTGATACGCTTGTGACATGTCCAATTTGGCAAAAATGTTGCCAGGTTCAAAAGTGTGCAATAAATGTTGAATGACGGGTACTGGGTAAGCGCTAACTTGTAAAAAGCGGTTAATTGTGGTTTTGTAGTCTGAACAAATTCTCAGGCTACCGTCTTTTTTGAGGGGTGTGACAATGGGCGTCTCCCATTTGGCGAAATCTGTTGGCTCAATGACCCCTTGTTTTAATAATTTATCCAGTTCCGCATCCAATTTAGGCCGAATGGCGAATGGGACTCTACGAGGTTTCAACCGGATTGGGACTGCTTGGGGGTCGACTGAGAATGAGATAGGGGTACCGTTATAGCACCCCAGCTCATCGCTGAATACGTCTGAGTAGTCAGCGAATAAGGAGTCAGTGTCAGAGGTTGAGACAGCATGGACTCCTGTTAACCCTAGGCCGAGGTGGGGGAACCAATCAAGCCCCAAGAGTGTAGGGAGGTTGCCGTTAACTACCACTAGAGGTAGGTGGCCTTTGAAAGTTTTAAAATTAACAAGAAACTTGCCTCTGCCGATTACAGGAATGTCCTTCCCCTGGTAGTCCTTCAGGTTAAGCTGGCACTTCTGGAGCTGGTTTCTGGATAGTCTGGGCTGTAGTTTCTTGAGGGTGCTCCACGAGATAATTGAGAGCGCTGACCCCGTGTCAACCTCCATACAACATGGTTTACCTTCTAATAAAACGGAGAGCGAGATTTTACTAATGGCATGGCAAGCGTGCTTAGCATGGTGGTGAGTGCGACAGTTCAATACTTGCCTTTGGGGTCCAGAATGTGAAAAGGAAGGGACCCTTTGTGCCGAGTTGTGAGCGGC